GTGGTGAGATTACCTGATGGCACCTCGCTGGAGTGCGGACTGGTCACCACTACTCACTCACAGTGTGTGATCCAGCCTGTCCAGGATGAATATGTTGACATCTACTGGGGACTGCTTGAACCTGAGGTCATGGGTGGAGGGGGTATTCTTTCTGTTTTCCTAGCGTGGAAGCCTTGGCTAATGACATTGCATCCGTTCTCAGCTCCTCCTGATCCCCCACATGTCACTCTCTTTTATGACCGCAGAGGAGATGAGGTGTTCCAAGACCACTTTGCAGAACAACTGTCAGGGAACATCTGGCCTATTGGGAGTGGGAATATTATTGTTGGCAAGGAGGGAGTAGCAGCTAGTGTTAACTTAACACCAGAACAGGAGGGGTGGTATATGATGGGTACTGAAGCAGCGCCTCATATCTCACTAGCATTAAATCCGGCATTTCAAGCGAGGGACTTAGGACCTATGGTCAAGAGGGCCTCAGGGTCCTCAGATTGGGTACAAACATCTTTAACATCCGTCTGGTATTCCCCCAGCTGTGAGTGTTATTCAATCGTCTCTGTGGCACATGATGTAGCTTTAATGCAGCATGATGTGCTCCCCAGAGAGCACGGTCGTGAACTGACGAACCACCCGCATGCAGGTCCTTTAATTGATAGCATGCCTGGGTCATTATGGTCTGAGGGACCCACGGATGTGGGACTGGTAACTGCCCTCCCATAACGTTCCAGGTGCATCACACATACCCAATTTGGATCACACAGTATCCTCACAAACCAGCTGCAGAGGCAGCCATCGCTGAAACAATTCAGGGTTTAAAGGAAAGCGGCGTCCTTGAACCCTCCTACGCAGAGTGGAACACACCTATTTTACCTGTACAAAAAGCAGGTACAGACAAATACCGGATGGCTCATGATCTGAGGGCCATCAATAAATTATTGATCACTCAGACCGTACCGGTTCCAAACCCATACGTGGCGTTGAATAATCTGACACCAAAACATGAATGGTTTAGCTGTCTAGACCTTGCAAACGCGTTTTTCTGTCTTCCTTTAGCTGAAGACTGCAGGGACATTTTTCATTCACCTTTCGTGGTGAACAGTTGCGATACACAAGACTACCTCAAGGGTTTGCGCTGTCGCCTGGCATCTTTAATCAAGTGTTAAAACAAGTTTTGCGCGAGGTCATGCTCCCAGAAGAAACGGTACTTGTTCAATATGTTGACGATCTGCTTATTGCGAGTCCCACTGCACAAGACTCATTAGAAGCGACCAGGAAGGTTTTGGAACACCTACATGCAGCAGGTTTTAAGGTCAGTAAAAACAAACTCCAGGTGACGAGGCGTCAGGTGTCCTTTTTGGGGAGAATGATCTCACAGAAAGGAGCGGGACTCTCTGCTGCACACCGTGACACAATTTTACATCATCCAAAACCGCAGACGGTTAAAGAAATGCTCGCATTCTTAGGATTGACTGGGTACAGCAGAAATTACATTCCAAATTATGCAGGCCAAACCCAAATATTGCGCACTTTGGTTAAAGAACAGGGCATGAGACGACCCACTGCCAGGCTGATTTGGAATGAAGACGCTGAGAGGGTCTTCATTGAGGTGAAACAACAGATGAGCAGGGCTACCGACTTAGCTCTACCGGATTATGGCCGGCCCTTCCATTTGGATGTTTCTGAAACAGAAGGGGTGATTAACGGTGTTCTGTTTCAGAAACATGAGGGGGGAAGGAAAGTTTTGATGTATGTCAGCTGTCTATTAGACAACACAGAAAAGAGACATCTACCATGCACACAACATGCTGCAGGAGTGGCTAAGCTAGTCCAAAAGACAGCCCACTTAGTGATGGGACACACTCTGCATGTGTTGACATCTCATAGTATGGTTGCCTTTGTAAATTCACAAAACTTCACAATGTCACCATTAAGACAACAGAGGATAAACAAGGTTCTAGAAGCACCGAACTTGTTATTCACACATGAGGTAATAAACATGGCAGACAGGAATGGAGGAGGTGAACCACACATCTGTGAGAGAAGAGTGGAAATTGATGACAGAGTCAGGCCAGACTTAAAAGCTGCACCTCTTGGAGAGGGACAGGGGATGTTTTGTGATGGAAGCTGTTTCAGAGCACAGGATGGACAGCTCAGTGCAGGCTTTGCAGTTGTGCTAGAAACAGATCAGGGTTATCACACTATAGTGAGCGAGAAATTGCAGGGTTCTCAGTCAGCGCAGAGAGCAGAGGTTGAGAGCTCTGATTTCAGCACTAAAGTGGGCGGAAAGCAAGAAAGTGACTATCTTCACAGACTCAGCGTATGCTTTTGGTGCAGCGCATGTGGAGCTGGCGCAGTGGAAGAGGGGAGGTTTTCGTACAGCTAATGGTAAACCTATTTAACATGAGGCAGATATGAGAGAATTAGAAACAGCTCTGATGTTACCAACAGAAATTGCCATTGTGAAATGTCGAGGTCATGATACAGATTCATCAAACATAGCAAAAGGAAACTGTCAAGCTGATTTGGAGGTGAAAAAGGCCTCAGGATTTATCAACTGGAGTCAGATGGTGATGACAACCCCAGAAGAAGAAGGGGAGCGAATCAGATGGGATGAAGAACCCATCGCCTGTTGCCAACAAGGTACAGCTCCAGAAGAAAAGGTGGTGTGGAGTGAAAGAGGAGCTGAAAAGAGACCAGATGGATTGTGGATAAACCCTGAAGATGGAAGATGGGTACTTCCACTAAGCCTGAAGAGGAGAATTTTCAAAGAAGCACATGGTTTAGGTCATGTAGGGGTACACCAGATGAAGAGAAATGTCGTCAGCTGGTGGCACCCATATATGAACGATTTGATCAGAGCGTTTGTGAAAAAATGCACGTTATGCAGTTTGTATAACTCCAAGCCAACTCTTAAACCGCATCAACAAGGAAAGTTTCCCACGGACATAACACCGGGTCGTGAGGTAATAATTGATTACACCGACATGATTCAACCAGTACGAGGTTTTAGATACCTATTGGTTTGCGTCGACGCGTTCACCGGAAGGCCAGAAGCCTGGCCTGCTAAAAAGGAGGATAGTCAAACTGTAATCAAGTGTTTAATAAATCACTACATCCCCAGACATGGGTTCCCTACAATAATTAGGTCTGATAATGGAACTCATTTCAAAAATGCAGATCTGCAAAAGGTTGAAAAGGCCTTGGGTTTGAAACATGCTTTCGGTACAGTTTACCACCCCCAATCACAAGGGAAGGTGGAAAGATTGAATGGAAACCTGAAACAAAAATTATCAAAAATCTGTGCACAGACAAATTCCAATTGGCTGGATGCGTTACCGATCGCCCTTATGGCGGTAAGAGCTTCTGTTAACAGGGGTACAGGTTTCACCCCTTATGAACTGACCATAGGAAGGTCGTTCCCAGGGCCCCAGCAAAATATTGAGTGGCCCTCAGAACAGGTATCTAAAATGACACACAAAATGTACTTTGATACACTAAAAGGTATGTTGTCCAGTTTTCATCTACAGATTCCTGAACCCAGTACTCCGGTCGGAGTAAACCCCACGTGCCCACTCTCAAATTGGGTACTGCTGAGAGTCACTAAATGAAAGTGGGCGGAGCCAAGGTGGACGGGCCCATATGAGGTGACAGAACGCACATCATACGCAGTACGCTTGAGAGGTAAAGGATCCACGTGATTTCATCTCAGCCAGTGTGCACCTGCGGGTGAGCCGCAACAATCGCTGCAGCAGGTCCGGACGGATCTGCAACATCAGTAGAGGCGGGGTCGAACATCTGACGTCTGGAGTGAGTTTCCTACAAGAGAGGGAAGTAAGCTGGGAAATTCATCTTTTGTCAAGAGGTGTGGAAAGCAGGAGTATAAAGAGTGGAAGACGCGTCGTTTTAAACCCATTGGGGTTTTGTGAAATAAAAGGCAACAGAAACATTGGGAATGCAGTCCTCCTGTTTGGCCAGATAAGCAGCAAGTTTTCTTAACCTATTAATCTTCCTGTGAAATAAAAGGCAGCAGAAACGTTGGGAATGAAGTCCCCCTGTGGTGCCAATTAAGCAGCAAGAGGAGTCAAGCATTCCAGCAGCTGTGTTCCTGGAGGCCTCAGCAGTGGCTGGAATTAAGGAAGGAATTACCACAGATGAGGAGACCTACTGTGGTTTTAACCTGAGAAGCGGCATCGAGACATCCATCTAACTTCTGGAAAAAAAAAACTGAGATTTTCAAGTGTATGTGTTTATTTTCCACAGGTTGATTATAACTGTCAATATATCCACTTACAATCTTCAAATATTTTATCACCATAAGATAGTTAATTTTAGAGGGTCAGACTTTTTAACTTTTTACTGACATTTTTTTTTTGTGCATGCATGTTGAATTACTTTTGATTCACAGGTCTATTGGGATCGATTCCTGGATAAAAAAAAAAAAAAAAAAACTTGATTTCTTGTACCCAATCATAGAGTAGATTTTGTGAGACAGGTGGTTCGATTTTCTCCACTTGCTCTGTGATAATATTTTTCTTTCAGGTTGTGTTGGGTTGACATTTTGCTGCATGCATTGTTGAATTACAGGTTTACACATCATAATCAACTTTCATTGTCCGTGTGGTGGGGTAGCAATCATGGTTCTCATATCAAACAAGCTGTTGACGGTGGGGGGAATAATGGGGGTACTGATGGTTTGTCTTGTTTTGGTGCTGGAGTTTACCTGTGTCATTCCAGGGTTAAGTCGGTGTCGCACCATACCTGTGAAGATCAGGAGAGAGAGACCTAGGAGGGGGGCGTGGTCCCCGGTTCATGATTTCAATCAGTTACCGTTGAATTTGTCCCATGCTTTTCAGATGAATAGCTGGTATCGTTATGCTCAGTTTTTGGCCAGGGGGCGCCATAACTCTGAATGTTATGTCTGCACCAAACTTCCAGTCACAGCTTCGCATTTGCCCTTGCGTGTTAAACCCCTGGCTAGGGGGCTATCATTTTCTTTTCTGCAGTACAGCTCCAGTGGACATAGCAGAGGTCTGTACAGGTGTGAGGCCAAGCGCTACGGTCTGACGCAAGCAGCACAGGTGGTGGTGTTGAGTCAGTATGTGGAGTGGACCTCTGGTGAACAGTTTCCCATCTGCGTGCACCGATAGCACAGGCAGGACTCTTATCAGGTGGCGGTGGGCATGTTGCCCCCCTGAGAAGTGTCAGGCAATATATCACCCTGGTAATCATCACATTGGGGTACCTGGGAAGAATGGAACATTTCCTGTTGAGGATCTGGCTTGGTTGTGTGGACATACAGTGCTTTGAACTCTTCCCAGTAACTGGACAGGTATCTGTGCACCTGTGGCAGTCACAGACAAATCATTTCTGGTGTCTGTGAGTAATGGTTCTCATTATGTTAGGCAAAGAAGGGACGTGGGCATCAGGCCACACAACTCTATTTGGGGTTCAGATGTACCAGACAAATTCAAACACTGGACAGTAGGAGAAAAGGTCATGCTTTCACTTTTCCCGTGGGCTGGGGTTGGGAAGTTACTGTTAAGGGTGGAAACCTTAGACTACCGTTTTTGAATTTTCATTAATTCAACAATTAAGGCGCTGGAGGGCATCTCTGAGGAATTGTCAGCCTTGAGGGTAATGGTGTTGCAGAATAGAATGGTCTTGGACTTGTTAACTGCATCTAGAGGTGGAGTGTGTGAGATTATTGGTAAGGATGCGTGTTGTACTTACATCCCGGATGAGAGTAGGACAAACCCCCAAGGCAGAGTAACAGAAGCCCTAGCACAACTGAGAGGGCTGCAGAAGGCTAAAGAAGAGGACCCTCCAGCAGGGTCAGAGGGATTCTTGTCATGGTGCATGAGGGGGTCTTGGAGTCAGGTGGTGCTCAAGCTTTTAGCCCCCCCTCTTGCTATAATTGTTCTTTTTTGTGTCTTGTTGGGTTGCGTTGCACCGTGCGCTAAACTGGCAGTCGCGCGGATGATTCACTTTGATGGAGTGGTAAGCAACGGTACAGCATGTCCTGTGATCCAGGCCAGTGAGGACTCCTCCCAGCCAGGACAGGATCACCTGCAGTTGGCTGAGACAAAATACCTGTAGCCTTTGATGTGTAGTTGATCTATCTTGAGGGATAGACCAAGAGAGGGAATGTTGGATTTCATGTTTTATCTTTTATTATTATTTTAATCAAGCTTGAAATTTCATGTTACAAAATGTGTATGTGTCATTTTTTGAAGGGTTTTTACTACCTTACAATCATTTAAATATTAATCAGTTACTTTGCCTTAATAGAATCTTAAATCCAGTTAGTTTGCTTAAATATAATCTTACATTAACTAGAGAAAATCTTATAAATTCACATTCTTATAAGTTCACATTAGGGCAGCACGGTGGCGCAACTGGTAGAGCTGCTGCCTCTCAGTGAGCAGGTCCCTGGTTCAAACCCCGGTCCAGGGGCCTTTCTGGGTGGAGTTTGCATGTTCTCTCCGTGCATGCGTGGGTTTTCTCCGGGTACTCCGGTTTCCTCCCACAGTCCAAAAACATGCATGTTAGGCTGATTGGTAACTCTAAAAATTGTCCCTAGGTGTGAGTGAGAGAGTGAATGGTTGTTTGTCTTGTTTGTCTCTATGTGGCCCTGTGATGGACTTGCGACCCGTCCAGGGTGTACCCCACCCCTCACACAGTGATTGCTGGACATGGGCACCAGCGACCCCCGTGACCCGAAATGGAATAAGCAGGTAAAGAAAATGGATGGATGGATGGATAAGTTCACATTTACAGGCGGCTCAGAGCAGGTAAGATGCTGATTAGACTCCAGGAAGGTGCCTCGGAGTATTACACACACCACACACGCTCACTCACACACACCTACGCTCACACACACACTCACACATAGACTGACATGCACACACATAGACTGAGGGACATTAAAGTATCTAGAACACATCTTTCTACCTTAAACTTAATATAGTTTGCATAATCCAAGATGGCCGCGCTCAGAGCAGTTGCAGCTTCACAGGCTCCCGGTACTATCCCAGTTTTTAGAAGTTTTGATATTGACTCTGTGCCTGACTCTGCGCGATTTATGCGTGTGAACTATAGCCGAACCGAACTGATGAGAATAGGAGCGGATTTGCCACAAAATATAGCAGAAATCAGCAACAAACTCAAAGCTACGCTCGGCAGAATGCAGATCTTAAAGTCATCTTCCTGGAAGATGCAGCAGAGGCGTTCCAGCGGGCAGAAGAGGAAGCGCTGCTCCCAGCTTAAGAGGAAAGTATGCCAGGCGGGGGTTATGGTGAGGCTACGAGCTAACGCTAAAGCCGGTAAACTCCCCATGCCGTCTCTCTTTCTGTCGAACGTCCGCTCTTTGGACAACAAGGTGGATTTACTTCGTCTGAGAGCGGGCGCCTCAGAAGAGATGAAGAAGTGTGCAGTGCTTTGCCTCACGGAAACGTGGATTACAAGTGAAACGCCGGACTCAGTCTTCCAGCTGGATGACAGACTTTTTTTTCGAGCGGACCGCTGCAGCGAGCTAACGGGGAAATCACGGGGGGGGCGGAGTATGCATTTACGTGAGTAAAAGTTGGTCCACGAACTGTACTGTGGTAAATAGCTCATGCTCGAAGGCTTTGGAGCAAATAACAGTGAAATGTCGGCCACATTATCTACCCCGAGAGTTCACAGTGACTTTTATCACAGTTGTTTACATTCCTCCGGACGCTAATGCTAATGAATCACTACAGGAGCTTCATGATATCATCAGCTCGCTGCAGAACAAACACTCTTTACGTTGTAGCCGGAGACCTTAACCACGTGAATCTAAAGGAGTGTCTCCCAAGCTTTAATCAACATGTGACGATTCCGACACGTGGAGACCGCACGCTGGACCGTGTTTACACGAACGTAAAAGATGCATACAAAGCCGAACCCCGCCCCCACCTAGGACTGTCAGACCACATCTCAATCTTCCTGGCTCCTGCTTACATGCCCCCGCTGAGACGCTCCAGACCGCTACAAAGGAAAGTTAAATGTTGGATCCAGGACAGTGGCCCCATACTGAGAGATTGTTTTGACCGAACAGACTGGCAGGTTTTCAGAGAAGCTGCTGAAAATGGAGGTTCGCTTGATCTTGACCAATACACATCCTCAGTACTGGGTTACATTAGTACATGTACTGACACCGTCTCCACTATCAGAAATGTTAAAAGCTACCCAAACAGAAAACCTTGGCTGAATGCAGAGGTGCGTACCCTGCTGGAAGCCAGGAACACTGCCTTCAGGTCTGGAAACTCAGAGGAGCTGAGTAGGACAAGAAAAGAGCTGGTTGCTGGTATTAAGAGGGCCAAGGCCACATATGCAAAGAGGATCGAGGGTCAATTCATCTCACAAGACCCTCGGAGCATGTGGAAGGGCATTAAGTGCATAACAGATTATAAAGGAAGGAGTGAACAATGCCCCAAAGACCTATCTCTGCCTGATGCCCTCAACAAGTTCTATGCACGCTTTGAAGACCCGAACAGACCACCCAGCACCAGACTCACCTTGCCACCGGATGAAGAGCATCTCAGCGTGACCTCAGCAGAAGTAAGGAGTACCTTCAGGAGGATTAATCCGCACAAAGCAACTGGCCCAGACAACATCCCCGGAAAAGTGTTGAAGGAATGTGCTGATCAGCTCTGCGAGGTGCTGGCAGACATCTTTAACACCTCACTTACCCTGGAGACAGTTCCCACCTGCCTGAAGACTGCCACCATCATCCCAGTCCCAAAAAGCTCTACAGTGACTGGTCTGAATGACTATCGGCCAGTGGCCCTCACCCCGATAGTCGCTAAATGCTTCGAAAAACTGGTCATGACTCACATCAAAACAACCATCAACATCAACGAGGACCCTCATCAGTATGCATACCGTGAGAACCGATCAACAGAGGATGCAATCTCCTCTGTGGTCCACACTGCACTCAACCACCTGGAGCAGAAAAACTCTTACGTCCGTATGCTCTTTGTGGACTTCACATCCGCCTTCAACACCATGATCCCCCAAACCCTGATGGACAAACTTTCCACACTAGGACTAAGCCCCTCCATCTGCAACTGGGTACTAGACTTTTTAACAAACAGACCACAGTTAGTGAGGATCCACAACCTCTCCTCCTCCACCATAACCCTCAGCACTGGCTCTCCTCAGGGATGTGTGTTGAGCCCCCTTCTGTTTACTCTGCTCACATATGATTGTGCAGCTACCCATCCAGGCTGTCGCATTGTAAAGTTTGCAGATGATACAGCGGTGGTGGGATGCATCACAAACAATGATGAGTCCAACTACAGGCAAGAGGTGGAACACCTGGAGAGCTGGTGCAGAGAGAATAACCTTCACATCAATGTGAAGAAGACAAAGGAGATGATTGTGGACTTCAGAAGGAACAAAAACATCTACACCCCCCTGAACATAAGAGGATCTGCGGTGGAAGTGGTCTCCAGCTACAAGTACTTGGGTGTACACATGAATGACAACCTCAGCTGGAGCAACAACACCACCAGCCTGATCAAGAAAGCTCATCAGAGACTCTACTTCCTCAGATGGCTGAGGCGAGCTGGTCTGGGAAGCTCAGTCCTCACCTCCTTCTACAGGTGTGCAGTGGAGAGCATCCTGTGCTCGAGCATCAATGTGTGGCATGGAGGCTGCACAGCTGCAGAAAGAAAAGCTTTGCAGAGAGTGGTGAAGGCTGCACAGAAATCTGTTGGAATCAG